TTATTCTCATACAATTAGCCATTATTTAAATAAGAAAAGCTTTAAACACTAATGTAAATACTCTTAAATAGGATCAGAACAAGATTTTTTTTAATTTAAAATTTTCTTTTGTGAGAAAAAATATTTTTGTATTAACTCTGCTTTAATGACTTAAAAAACATAAGCAAAATACAAGATCTTTAGTAATGATATTAATTTTAATATATGTACATCCTTTTGATGTATGCATAGTAAGTATGTTAGAGTAGCAACAACAATATAAATAACATGTAAGAAGTAAACATGCAGCAACATTAAAAATATGGTGATTCTACTGGAACCTACAATTTACTAAATAAAAATGGAATAAATGAATCATAAATCTATCCCAATTCAAAGTTCAGAAGACAAGTTTTCTAAAAAGTCAGAAGTTCCCTTCAGAATAAAAATACTATTAAGAAAAGTAACATGAATTAATAAGATTGATTGACTATGATGTACTCAAAACTGTGTTTAATATATATCAGCTTTAAAATAAATAATACCATACACACATAAATAAAACACTAAATATTAAATAATATTATTCATTTTAATGCAGATATTTTATATATTTATTTCTAATCAAGTTGTGCCATAACATTACAAATCACACGAAATATGTAAACAGAGTTATCAAATATAAATCCTCAAATTGCAGCACTTAAAAGGAAATTTTCAATTAAAACGGCATTACAATTTAAAGTTTAGTACACTATCCTTTGAAAAATATATGTAATATTCTAAATAAATTCAGAATATAAGTTAAAAACACTTTATTTTTAAACTTCGCGATGTTAAGTCTAAAGGCGGGTTGACACGATCAAAGTACTTTGATCAAAGTAAGCGCGCGCAATCAAAGTAAGTCATAAAAGTAAATAAAACAAAAATGGGAACCGCGAAATTTTAGGGAAAAGGGAAAATGCGAAGGGGGGAAAAAGTAACGCACTGTTATTGAGAGTATGATATATCAAATGAATAATCTCGGCCTCTCTGTTTTTAAAATTCATTCGAATTTTAAAATTATTTAATGAGATTTAAAAAATAAAATCATATTTTATTAGACATTGATATAAGTAGTTTAACCAACCCTGTGATTATATTAATGAAAAGAGGAAAATTATTGTTTTTGAAATTAAATCAATATATAAAAAGTTCCCTGTATTTGTAATTGTCTCTCACTTTGATGCGACGTAATTTACTTTGATGGGTGTTCAACTTTAATTTCTACTTTGATTCAAACAGCGATAATTGTGCCAATTGTGAGTATCAGTAATTGATTGTTATCTATGACGTATTTCCCTAAGAGGATTCTAAAAATGATAAGGGTCAACTGTAAAGTGCTCGACTTCTCGAGCAGATTGTCGGGCTGCTAAAGCAGGGGAGCCATCCCCTCTGCGGAGGATCAAAATTTCAATGGTATGACTACGGATCATTCTCAGGAATGTTTCCCATACCGCGCCAGTAGCCCATTGTGCAGCTGTTGGCACCTAAGTGATGGTAGCTTTACACATTTCTTTCTTATTTAGTTTCTGATGCGGGTTTCACACTTTGAATGCAAAGGGCACGTATTAGCATGTGTATTTTTCCATCTGTATGTCCTTTCTTTCTCCAATAAATGGTCCACCTTGGTGGCTATTATAGTTTTTTCGCTTTACTTTGAAATATGTCTTAAATAAAATGACAAATACACATTTTTAAATCACTATGTATGCAAAAATTAGAATATCAAAACCAGTTTGATTGCTTTTGAAGCACTAAAGGAGTTTCCATTAATCTTTTTATACGTTTACTGGTTTAATTATTCAAATTAATTGGGTTAAAATAGTTTTAAATATTTAAAAAAAATTTGAAAAGTCGGAAAACAAAAATATATATTATATTTTTTCATTGTTTTTGTTTTCCGGCTTTTTAATTTATTCTTTTTAATAAAAATGTGTTTTTTTTACGTATTAAATTTTTTTTCTCATTTAATAGTTTCTTTATTCATGAATTTTTATTATATTTTTCTCTTTGTATTTTTGACGCATTTTAGTAATTTTATGTACTTGCAACTTTTGTGTAACAAATAAAGCTATTATTTTTTCTTATTTTCTTTGTTATTCTCGTAATCTTTTTTGTTTTTATTGTGTTATATATACACCACTTGTTACCATCATCATTAAAGAATGTTAATTTACTCAAACAAGTTTTTCGATTTATATTCCTCATGCAAGCTATTATTTTGTAATAATTATTATCAAACTCATTACAAAAAAGCTTATGCTATATCATGCTCTTTTAAAGTCAAATTTTTCAACAACTGATATTGTAAATAGATATAGGGTTTAAAAATTTTCTCTTTTTCTAAAAATAAATTATACATAAATAAACTTTAATTTTTCATCATTCTTCTCTAACATCCCTCGCCATATATCAAAAGTAAAACCTGGTCCTACTGGTAATCCATTGAACTTGTTGATTTTAAATTATGAATTGAAATAGTTAAAACAAAAAGACTGTTTCAATAAATGTAAATAAATTTGGATTTCAGTGATATTTGCTGAGAAACTTTAGCAACTTGAGAAAAAGCTTCCAGAAAGATCTAGAAACATTCTTTGATACTCAATAACTTTAGGCATTTGCTATTTGATTCCTACATCGTTTATTATTAATATTTATATAGTATCTTTTACTTCAAGAAAAGTATTGATTTCTATAAATTTTGCATGCTGAAGCCTTTTACATCTAATACAGAAAAATATACTATTTATAAAATTTACTATACAATTCCACTGAAATCCAATTTTATTTTTTTGCAACACACAACAATAGTTCTTAGTTTAAAAAATTTTATTGGTAAAAACATCATTGGATTACAAATCATTTGAAACGGGAAAGAACAAGATATTAAATTGAATGAAATAATTTTTATAGTAAATTAAGCATCTTAGTTTAAGGAAATAATTTTACTGGAATACACTGAAACTATGAATGAAGAAATTTATAAGCTCTCACCTATAAACTATTTTGATTAATTTCTAGTACTTAAAAAGAAGAGAATAAGAACAAAAAGATTGAAGAAAACTGTCACAAAGATTTATAAATATTTTCTGTAACATGCATATACATTATGCAGTATCAACATTAAAATTTTACAATATAAAACAATTAGAAGAAGTTTACATTTAAAGAAAGAATCTTGAACTGTTTAATAATAAAAATATAATTTGAATTTTAATTTACAAAGAATATATAATAGCAAATTTCATGTTTAGAAAGTATATTTAAAAACTTTTGTATAACAATTTTGAATAGGCCATAGTAAAATGTTATTAACCCAATGAAAGATCCAGTACAAGAATTTTTTTTTTAAAAAATTGCTACCACAATAACCCCCAAAAATGTTTAGAACAAAAATAACTAATACATAATTAAGATTATAAAAGTCCTGATAAGATTAAGATTAATTAAGGTAATTAAGTAAATTAAGATAAAAAGTTATAAATGATTATGAAAGCTCCCTAAGGTCAAAACATTTTTCTCTGAACACTTTCACTACTGCTCTTTCTAATTCTGTTTATGGGTTTTAGAAAATGAAAGCTTGTAATTATTTCTGGCTGTGATATAATACAGGTTATATTAAATGCAGAAGAGGAGACAAAGAACAAATTCTGTCAACCTGTAAGAGATAAAAAATACATTATTTGAAAAAAATAAATAAATAAAAGGTTAATAAATCTTTTCTTTACAATTGATTTAATTTTTTTATACTGTTACATTACATTATTATCACGCCGGCCAGGTGGCCGGCGTGATAATAATGAGTTTAGATAAAAATTCTGATTAGATAAAAATTTAGATAAAAATTCTGAATTTTTTAATATATTTCAGTAAAATTGTTTAAAAGAAATAGTAGTGTTTCAGAATGGTTTACACCACATAAAATTAAACTGTCTTTATTGAATATTCATTTAGAAAAAATAATAAATAAATTTAAACTATGCTCAAAATACACAAAGTTTCTACTTTACTAAATTTGAAAAGAAATAACTTCCTACTACTCAAAAATAAATTGCCTATAATTGAGCACTTGAATTGTGCTGACTGTAACTTCCAATTTGTATATTTTTGAGGAGAATGAAGTTAGCAATCAAGTAACAAAATTAGTATCAACTCTTCATTAATATTAAAACAATATTTATAAAATGCATCGATTAAAAGTTTAAATTTACTTTGACAAAACTTGAATTTGATGAGCACAATGAGACATAGGCTATATATGTGGTATTTCATGAGGATTGCTCTTAATATGTCTTTTCAAATACCTTATCAAAAAATTAGTATTAGCGAATTAGTATTTAAGGAAGGAAAAAATAAACACAGAAAAATGACAAATCACTTTTCTGGAAGAAAAAAGAAATATACAACAAGACACATTTGACTGTATAAAAAACACATCTTCAAGTTTCAACACCCAATTAAACCTGTTTTGATGTTAATTACATTTACATTTTTTAACTGTAAATAGTCAGATTTCAATAGTGCATATGTTTTCCCCATACTTTTATACTAATTGTAACATACACACTTTTTGTTTTCCTTTTTGATAAGGATTATAAAAATACATATCAAAAGCGGTGTTTAGAGAACACACTGTATATTATATATTAAGTATTGTATCTATGTTCGTAAAACTAGCACATTTTAATCAAATTATTTAAGATTTTGCATATCATATGTTTCCAGAAAGAGAAAAAGAAATTTTTTTTTGCTCTTTCTTAGAGAAAATAATGTAACTTTGAACAAAAAAAAAATTTACTATTCTATTACATAAGTAAATAGAAATAAAAGCAAGTCCATAGGATTTCAATTTAATAACTGTAGCATAGCATAAAGCATCACAAACAGTCCAAAATGAATTTGACTAAAGAAATATTAAACATTTTTATTCAACAACAAAACTTTCTAAAGTTCATCAAGATAACTCATGAAAATAATTTTAAATTATTATACATGGAAATAAGATATTCTTTGTATGAAACAATTTTAGTGTCAAGTAAGCTAGTGTGAATCTGGTTAAATAAAACATAAGACATTTGGCAAAAAAGATAAAGTCAAACAAATAGACATTTTAAAATTCTGAAGCAAATTTGTATAAAGATCAAACCAATATAAAAAGATCTTAATATTAAGCTAGAAACACATAAAAATTTAAAATGGCTGAATTGTAATATATAATTGACAACTAATCTAATTCCTAAATGAGACATATGGATCTCCATGTTTTTAAAATTCCACACTTATCATGACACAAAATTTTATCTATAAGCAATTCTTCTTTAATTAAATATAGACAGAAAGTAACCAAAAACAACAATTACTTATATAAAATTTTGACAGAAAATAATCTGTATTAATATCTACACAGTAATAAAAGTTAAGCAATAAATTATAGGTACTATAAAATGATAGAGCTGAAAAAAAGTTCAACTAAATATTTTATAAACTTTAATAAAAATTATTAATACACAAACAGATCGGGAATAAATGAACTATTAGGAATGGAATACATATTTTGTGTTAATTTCAGATTATTCAGTTCAGAAATACTTCGAATAATCTATTAACTACACAACGATATCATATATACATTAGTATAACGTATATTAGTATGTGATATAATTAGTAGTATTTAATATAGAAAACGTAATATTCATTTTAAAAGCACATATAGTTGATTATAAACGAAGAAATTCTCACTTACCCGATAATATAGATAAGTTTTCAAATCCTATTAGTACGTCTAGATTTCTTGAAAGAAAGGTTCAAAATAAACATATTCCCTGTAAACAAAAACAACTTCTTCTAAATCGTCACATTTCCCTAAAAATATTTCCCTACTGGTGAATGCGCGCGCTTACTTTGATCAAAGTACTTTGATCGTGTCAACCCACCTTAAGACAACCTCGCCACCCAGGCACCCGCAATTGATTGTAGCAATTGTCTAGCGCCAAGCTCACTCCGCCCTGTTACCAATTCCTGAATTGACTGACGTCATGTTAATTTACCCCATTCTTCTAAAATTTCTGAATACTTCGGTTTATAAGATATTTGGTCAATTTAGGAATTGGTAACTGGGCGGAGTGAGCTTGACGCTAGCTTTTATCCATCAATCTTCTTATAACCCTATATTGATTGTGTGACCAANTAATCCCGTTATTATTTTCCGAATTTGAAATGTTAATATATCTTTTTAATTTTATACTGTGATCATGAATTCTCAGGAATTTTCTCGAGATAGTATTGATTTTTATTCATCACGAGAGAAAGATATATGCAGGATTCAACATGAAACATCTTTAACATGGAAAGTTATTACAAAAGAGAATTTAAATTTAAGATATGCCAGAATGTTCTCTAAATCTATGGCAGATTACATATTTTATAGACTTGAAACTGAAATCGAATATTTCAGTGGTGACTTATCGAGAGTAAAAGTTTTCGGGAAGTGGCATGATATTCCCCGTAAACAGGTACTTGGCATACAAATATTATTATTCTTTGGTCAAGATTCAAATTATGCTGTTTATTTTAAATTCTATTATTAACGATTTGTTACTAAACTATTTTGAATCGAAATGGATTAAATTTTCTAAAACTCAGTTTGTTTTGATTTGTACTCGTTTTATTTTAAGATAATTTTTTTTAAAAATAGTGATGATTTAGAATTCGTTTTGTTAATAGCAAATTTTCAAATAACATTTTTCTTCTACAACTTTGTATCATGTTTATCTTAGAAATATAATATAATGCAGTAACCTTATAAACTTAATTATAGTATGCATTCCTGTTCTGAAATAAATATTTAATTTATGAACATTTATTTATTGTTTTATTTCCCTGTCGGTTTGTTTTGTTGCTTAATTTTTAGCAAATACGAAAATTATTTTTAAAATATGGAAATTTGAAAGATTACTTTGTTGAACCTATCTCAAATAATTTTGAGTAACATTGTAGTTGCATTTTTCCTGTGCATTTTTTTAATTACTGTTTCTGGGTTATATAGTATTGATTATGAAGGTATTTCTTTTAAAGCGGAAGTTGAAAAGTAAAAGGATCTGAAGTTTTGATTTCAATGTATTTCAGTATTTCAAAATTTTCAGAGGTTTGTTAATTACATTACAAATTTACATAAATATGTGTATATAAAACTTTTTATTCTAATTGAAAGAAATGCTTTCTTTATACTAATGAACCATTTTTTATTTTTTGGCTGCATTTTATTCTGTCCAACATTGACCTTGATTTGAAAAAAAATATTCAGGATCTAATACAGATGGATTTTACTACCGTTTGCCTTCACAAAAATCATCAGAGTAAAATCAGCACTATCTCAAAAATCTGTACTTTTTCTGAAATCCGAGTTATCTTAGTCTTCAAATCGACACTTTCCTGGAAAGAATAAAAAAATGGGATCTGTAAATTTTTATGGAACGCATGGTCTTTTGGTAGAAAAATAATTTAATATTTGCACATATTTCATAAGAATTGCGAACAGATTCAAGCTTGATGACACACATCCAAGACCAGATTTAAGCTTGGCGGGGCCCAAGCTACTGAAAATGATGGGGCCCTTATAAGTTCAATTCTATTTATATACACATGAGGAAAACTGTCATTATTTTTTATTGTTAAGTATTAACATTAAATTAACAAACAAATTCCTTTACGTTACATTTTGCTTTGTTGTTCAGAATCTATAGACTTAGAAACATGAAATTATGAAGGTGTGTAGAAAATATGCAAGGAGTTAAAAAGAAATACAATTTGATTATTAGTTTTATTCTTTTTATGACCGCTGTTGAAAAACTGACTCAATTTTGAGTTTACAACTACTCATGTTTAACTACGTAGCCTTGTAATTTTGAACTCAATGCAGAATACAAGGGAATTCCTGGATCAGTACCCAAAGGTATTGATTTGTGAAGAACTTACTGGACTTTGTGACCCAGACAGATTTAACATGCACCAGTCACCATTTTACACATGGGTATTTTTCAGCCGGCTGGATTCGAACTCCCATTCTCACGAACACGAGTACATACCCTACTAACCAAGCTATTGCGGCCAAATTATTAGTTTATTTCATAACAGTCATTGAACAGCCCACCCAATTTCGAGTTTCGACTACTAATGCTCAACTCCGTAGCCTTATAATTTTGAACCCAATCCAGCAAACAAGAGAACTCCAGGATCAAATATTTGATGAAATTTTTGTCTTCGTGGAGGACGTTTGGATGGAACCAGTCAGCATTTGAGTTACATGGAGAGGAAAACCACAAAAGCCTCCCACTGTTAGTCTGACAGCAAGGGGTCTCTAATCCATGATCCGTCTACCACTGAGGGTATTTTAGGTCAGCACTGTGGTCAGTGCAAGCCGGGTGTAGAATTCATATCAACCAGCAGCCATCACCATCATCGACCAGCGAACTCGGTTCACATCATCCGGAGGCGAATGCTGTATCCCTTGAGTCTATCTTCACTGAGAAATAAGTCTGCGGGAGGTAACAATTTTCCAATTTTATTGATTTGCTTAAATTTAGTCATCTTCAAAATGTAAATGGCAATCGTAATTCTTGTGTAGAAAAAGGGAAATAAACCGTTTTTCCTTTTATTTGTGCACTGATTAATGAGAAGCAACCACGAGGGTTAGCGAGCAAAATGAACAGGGAGCGGAGCCTTCTTGTTTTTTAAATAATTGTTAAATTATTAGTTTTTAACATGCATACTTTAAAAAATAAGAAAAACATTTTTCAGTGTAATGAAATAAAAATAAAAAACTGTCATCAGCTGGAATAGAACCCACGATCTCACAGTTTCGTGTTAGATTTCATAATCTTCTGCTCCAAATATACAAACCTGCCATGTAAATTTTTATTATTATTTTTTTTAAAATTTAATAAATTAAGTCATTTGGATACTTGACATTCTTGATTTTGTTGAAAATTTTCGGATATGTTCTTTATGTAAAAGTTTTAGACACGTGCTTTTTTTTCCCTTCAATTTTGCGAAAAAATGATTTTTTAAAAAAAATTTGAGGTGTCAAAATAGAAGGCTCTCCGAAATTTTGAGAAAAAATATCTGTTTTCATGCGACAATACAGTATCTTTTATGCAATGTGAATCATGGTACTGACCACACTGAGAAAAGAAAGTGTGGTCAAAACTATAGAATATAGTAAAATTTACGGTATTTATGGGAACACCAAAATACAGGATAATTTTTTTCAATAGTGATCAGGTTATGACTTCTCATGAAAGTAACATAATAAAAATATAGTTTTTTGCCCTGCTGTTCGGTAGTAAATGTGTTAAATTTTTTAATTTTATAATGATACCTTAGGAAAGTAGTTCCAAACTGTGTTCTATGGAACTTTATGGTTTTAGAGCGAATTAGTACTTTTTGTAACCGGGGATGAATACTTTTATAACTTCTAGTTAGTTCTTTTATGATCTCTGATTATATTTAGATCCAACTTATAAATCATATCGTATATAATCTTTCTGTCTTCTTTATTAAATTATTTGAAGTAAAATATCAATTAAATAGAAATGGCATTTTTTTAAATGAAAATATATTTCTAAAAACAATATGTTGAATGTTGAACAAATTAGGAAAAGAATAAGCATTTATAAAATATTACATTAATATTTCATACCGCACTTTTCAAATCAATATAAAATAACTAAATTCTTTTATTGAGAAAAATGCTTTCCAAATTATTACTTTTAGCGTTTATAACTCGTCTCTTCAGTTCATTTAGAAATAAACTATAATTCGGCTTATCTTATTCATTTTCAGCTTTTGTATATACACCAAAAATAAATTCAAAAATGAACTAGATATAGTACAACGACTGCAAATTTAACTGTCCGATATTAAACCTTATTTAAGATTGTTAATGATAAAACAATGAAAAACCTTCATTCCTCTAATTAAATATTTAAAAAAAAGTTTTTTTTTTAGGTTATAACGTTCACAATTACCTTAATAAACTTTAATCGTAATGTCGGGGTTCCGCCATTATTTAGGGTTCCGTAGAGGGAAGCATAAATAATAATTGGGAATCGCTGCCTTAGAGCATGGCATAATAATCACTAATTCGGTTAACTTTATTTTTGACTTTTGCATTTTTATTAAATGTGTGGTAATAAGAGCTATAATTTTAAAAACCAGATTTTTCGATAAACTGTTGCATTGTGAACAGAAAAATTACCAAATGAATGATTTAAATGCCAAATATTTTGGTTTTATTACCGAAATTGTTTTTTTCCTCTTCTTCTTTTTTTGCGAGAAGTGTCGTAAATTTTACTCAGTGCGTTATTTTGAGTTCTAATACTTCCGCACTATTTATTTAGACATAAATACTAAAAATGGACCTTAGCTTTGAATGTCAAATCCAATCATGGAAATAAGGTTATTTTTTCACACTTTGACTTCTACACTTATTTTAAATATTAATATTACAGATAAATTATTTTTATAAAACAATGCAATTAAACTAAGTATACCAAATTCATTTAATTTTCTTCTGTATATCTAAATAAATATTTTGATGCTATGAATTTAGAAATAGTATAAGGAATAAGAAATTAATACCTTACTTTTTATTTACATAAAAAGTGTGTATAGCCAACAATTATTTTATATTTTTAAACACTTCGATTAGATTTTAAAAAACATCCGATAAGAGAAAAAAATGTTATGAGATGTAAAAAAGAGAAAAAAATATATATTGGGCTTCATAGGGCCGCAGCTCCGAATAAAACTTTAAAAAAAGAAGAAAAAAAGTGGGATCTGGGGGCCTTTGCCATCTCGGGGCCCCAAGCTACAGCTTATTTAGCTTATACGTAAATTCGGCCTTGCACACATCCTAACCTATTCTTATTTGTATTTAAACTAAACTCAGTGGTGCGACAGCTCATAGAGGGCCAAGGCCTACTGTGCCCATCTCAGTTTTCTTGACCTTGGGCTCTGGGGTGCAGGAGCAGATGTTCCGGTCAGGTGGTCAGCCGAAGGCGGAACCCCCAGTGTTTAGTTCCCAAGCATGCTTGGTACTCATTTATCGACCCACTGAAGGGATGAAAGGCTGAGTCGACCTTGCCCGGCCCGAGGATTGAACCAGGGACCTGTGGCACGACAGCGCTACCGCTCAGCCACTGGGCGTCCTTATTTGTATTTGCAAGATTTAAAAATCGCAAATCGCGATTCATACTCGCCTGTTTTAAAAATTATATGTTGTGATTCTTCTCACAATTCAAAAATCATGCTTCACGATTGTGATTCATATGATTTAAAAGTCAAAAAACTCGATTCATATCCACATGTTTTAAAAATCATATGTTGTGATTTTTTTTTCAATTCAAGAATCAAGATTTAAGAATCATACGATTCGTGTTCACGCAATAAACAGTGAACTTTTATTGTGTGCTGAAATTGCAAACGTTGGTCTACTGCATGCAAAACCTTTCAAAGATGTAGATTTTTTCTAAAAAGATTTTCCTCTATGTAGTAGTGACAAAGAAACAGAGGAAATGGTAAACGTGAAGGAATTTAAAGAATTACAAATAACCGATTTACCTGTTAAGGTTCAAAATGAAGAATGAATTTATATGAAATAAGATTTCGAAAATAACATCCCAGGATGGATGCTGTAAGAAATATAGTTAAATAGCAAAGAGCATGTTTGGTATTTTAAGCAAACAACAATGCTGAATGTGAGAGGGTCTTTAGCGTAGTAAAAAAAAACAAACTCCATTTAGAAGTTCATTATTAGTGTTTGTACACACTTTAAAGGTGCTTAATATCATTTTATTTTACCGTGCAAAAATTCAGCAATCTTAAAAGTCCCTAGGTTTAAGCTGTCTAAAAGTTCATACTTTTTTTTTTTTAAAGGAGAAAGTGTGAAAGGAATTTTACTTTCATATTTTATTTTTTTGAAAGTAAAAATTCAGGTTTTTTATTTTTCTAAAGCGATGTTACATCAGGTGAATTTAAAATTTGAATTATAATTTTTTAACATGCTTGATTTCATTTAGCTTTTGAATGTATATATATATTTAATATTTGGTTGCTTGAGAACTGTTTGACCGATTTGCTCAAATCTTGTATTTTGTCATCTAAAATTGCATTCTTTAAAATGATGTAAAGAAATTGTATACCCTACAATTCAAATTTTTTTTTGACTATTAATAAACAAAATACAGTGGAAAGTCGCGTATCCGGAATCGGCGGGACTTTCTGAAGTCCGTATATTTGATTTTTCTGTATAATTGACCTCCAAGGTAAACAAAGCTTAAAATGATCTGAATCTAAGAAGCAGAAAATAAATGAACATTATTTTTCGGGCAATAATGTTTTAGTATTAGAATGATATCTAATCAATCATAAACAAAATATTAGAAAAAAAATAATTATTGCTATTCTAAAAATAAATATAGAAAACGAAAAAAATTCCCAGTTATGAAAATATTAATTGCTCTCTCCACCATTTTGAACTAGAACGATTCAAGCAAGAAGGGGAAATTCCCGTCATTCAATAAGGTGGGTAGGTGGAGAAGAAAAATTCATTTCCTCCTTACTTGTCATTCAAGTTGAGGGCGGGGTAGTGACAAATTCTTATTTTCTCTCCCATCATTGGCTATCAATCAAGCATAAAGGCGTGGCATGCTAATTGGGTTCTCTTTATTTTTTCTTGTGTGACTAAAGGGGATTCCCCCTCCACTTTAACATTCAAAAAGGTTCCAGGAAATGCCTCTTTTACTAGCCAGCTGCATAGAAAGAAGGGGGAGGGAGGGGACTCAGTTGTGCTCTTTTGAAAACAACCCCCCCCCCTTTCCTGCATTCCAGAGGAGGAGCGTCATGGTCTTAGTAGATCTTCTGTTCTCTTTTCTGTTGATTTATGGGTTCAATGCATAGATCTCTAGAAGCTGAGAAGGGGAAAAACCTGTCAAAAGACTTCGTTTTTTTTTTTTTTTTTAAAAGGAGAGGGGAAGATGAAGAAATGTTTGTTTATTTTGATTGTTAAAAAGTGTCTGGGAAATCGACCCTTCCGGAAAAGGGACGTCCGGATATGGGACGTTACACTGTAATAAATATTCTGGAATTCTGGAGATATGGTAAAATATGCAAAAAGTAAAATTAACATTAAGGGGTCCAAACTTTGGACCACTCTTCTGACCAAACTATTGAAGTCATATTTCCCAGATTGCAGCTACCAGCTATATTTTGAGTGTCAGAAATTCGAATCCATCAGGGAAAATAAGGTATGTGTATTCAGAGAAAGTGAGTTTTTTTGTCTGATGATGATGTGATGATTTTGTGTAAAAGCATTATCAATTATTTACTTTTATAACACTTTGTTGAGTGTCAAAGCTTACTTTAGAAATGTAAGGTCAAGCAGATTACAATGTTGGCAAGTCTGTATGTGTAAATGAGTGATCTTGGTGAGCATAAAATGGATAAATTAAGAAATTTTATCAATTTATAAAATTTAAATAAAATACCTAAAAAAGAAAAAAGCAGAGAAAAGGAAATATATATAAAAACATAGAAGTCCATGATTTTTTTCCCCAAAAAATTTGGCACAAACTCTGAGATATGTTATTTGATGCTTGATTTTAGTTCAATTAGTATCAGTCAAGATTATTTTCATTCAAAATGATCTGTTGGAATCTTTTTTATATTAATAAATTTTTTTAAAAGAACCTTAAAAAGTTGGCTAACTTATCTCGAGCCTGGTTTTTTTTTCCTTCCATCTCATGAAGCATGTTTAATCATGTAACACAAATATATTCAGAAACGTTATTGAATGATAAATGTTTTCCAATTCAGTATCTGAATTATTTTCTTTAGTATTTAAAATGCAAGGTGATCATAGAGCTTATAATTATTAATTTTCAATGGAATATAAAGATCTATGAAAATACGGACAGGTATAGTTATTAGGTTTTTAATTTACTGTGCAATGTGGTTTAGGCTTAAACATGCTCATAATAATTGAATGCATTAAATTTGTGTAGGTTTCATATGGAGAGGATGGATTATCCTACTCTTTTTCCGGAAATCGGATTCCTGCTGTGCCGTGGAATAAAAGTCCAATAGTAGCTGAATTAAAGAACTGTGTTTCAAACATAACTGGAGTTGAATTTAATTTTGTACTCATAAATAGGTAGTTTTCAAACTGTTTATTTAACTTATTAAAGTTAAAATCTGAATTATCACTTTTAGAAACAATTATTTCCATTAGTTTTTTAATTTTATGTTTTAAATCCATAAGCTTTAAAATGAACCAAATATATATACTAATTTTATAATGATGTTGTTTTTTAGTGTTAAATATATCTTAAATTTTTTACAAAATATAAATTTTGTTAAAATTTAGTGTGTGTGTGTGCGTGTGTCTGTTTTTTTTATTTTATTTTCCAAATCTGAATTTTACATAGACTTGGCAAACCTAAAAAAGGAAAATAAATTCTTTTATTTTTTTAATATGAGTCCTGACTCCAGCCCCCCTCACCCCTAGTAATATCTATTATTTAGTATAATTTTTTTTTTAAAAAAGCTTTAAAAATAAGAAAATAAAATACACTAAATAACTTTTGAAAAAAAAAATCTGACTATATTTGCAAAATACCAGGCATTTTGTAAGGTGCTTTGGTTAATGGGTCATATTAAATGTTTTTTTTTTTTTAAATTTTTTTTTTAGATATAAAAATGGAGAAGATCATATGGGGGACCATCGTGATGATGAAAAAGAACTTGTTCCAGATGCCCCAATTGCATCATTATCTTTTGGTCAAAATCGAGACTTTATTTTCAAACATAAAGATTCAAGAGGAAAACAGGATGATTCTTTAAAACTGCTTCTAGAACATGGCAGTCTTCTTTTAATGGAATGGCCAACAAATAGACATTGGTATCACTGTCTTCCTGTTCGAAAAAAAGCCCTTAATGCCAGAATCAACTTAACATTTCGAAAAATGCTTCTCCAATAAGCATTTAAAAATATATTTGTATAAACCGTAAAATATTTTTAAGGATCACTAGTATAAGATAAAAGTTAACAGTGAAAACTGAATAAGGATTAAATTTATGGAATATCTACATTTATTTTTTCAGCTATTATATATAATAAAGTCATTTCTTCATAACAATTTCCTAAGTACTTTAACTGAAATTTTGTTATTGAATATAGTCAATATTAGTACAGCCTTCCCAACACCTTTTCACTATACTGTAATAACAATGGATTCAAAAACTGTCTTGTATCCTACAAATATTTTTAAATTCAAGTCTGAAAAATTATTTATTATAGTATTAAAATTCTATTTTAATTTAACCTCTATTAAGAATATTTTGGCATTTTTCTGTTTTGATAAAGAAATTATTTCAGATCGAAAGGTTCAGGGAAATGATGAAAACTATGGCAAAGACGTCTTAAAATTCTGATCGTGTAGTGGCCAATATGTAAGCCACTTATGCAGTTTAATACCACTCAGAAGTCATAAAGAACATTATCCTTTTGCTACACCCTTCCATACTGGTAAGCGTAGCCAATATGAAAACAGGTATTTCATTCTTCAAAGAGGGCAGCTCTTACATCCTGCAACTCTCTGTGACATGACATAAAAATTTATGGATGAATTTACAATTGAAGGCAGAACTGCACTCAAATGGCAAATTTTCATGGTTGCATAGCTTCTTAATTTTATGGAATGCTCACATCTGACCACATTTAATACTCTCTGGTTCACTGTAGAAGGAGTGTTTGGCTGTAACTATAAAAATTTTTTTTACTCATTCTGGATTGAGATCTACATTTTTTCTATAGTGATTAAAGCATATACCAATGAACCCAAAGAGTGGATTTTTCGTAGCTGATATCAACGACTGTTGCTCTTGCAATTAGAATGTGCATTATCTTTCAAAAAGATAACTCTATGTTTGTTCACCAAAAGCATTTATTTGACCATCCAATTAGTGTTGAGACATTTTCTCAATTCTAATCAGTATTGAAATATTTTTTGAGGCACAGTTTAATAAAACTCAACATTAGGTTGTTAGAAACTTCATGTTCTGACTCATGGCATGATTCATTTTTTAATTTGTGTCTTTAGTATGAAACTGGGCAACCACTTCTGGAGGATTCATTCATCTCCCTGATTGTAGTTTTAATGTTCCAAACAATTACAGCAACTGAGAAATCTGAAACAGTCTAAATTTCAAATCATGAGAAAAATGGATCTCAAATAGGATTTTCCTATAGGAGTTTGAAATCACCTGACTTGATGCCGAAATAAAATCTAACTAAAATTTCATGCGTAGATAGTAGCATTTAAGGTAGCTCTGTGATATTAAAATACTAGAATTTTTAGTTGATTTTTACCAGGGTTTGTACAATCCTTCTAAATTTGGGCAAAAAATACAAAAGGTCTTTAAAACTTCTTATTTTTTTCCCCCATCTTCAAAAGCTCTTACTTCATTTCTTTTAACAAAATAAACCACCTCTTTTATCATCGTCCTATGTTGGGGAGAGGTTGAAAGTCAATGATGAAGACTCCTTTAATGATTTCCTCAGAAACAGTTGATTTGTTTTGTGAGGTTCTAGGGTTGAAGTCCTATATTTTTATGAAAAGCTAAAAAAGCATCACATATTTTTCAAAATTAGCCTGTATTTTTTTCCTATAATAACTTTTTTTTTTTTTTGCATCAGAAGACAATCTTCTGGATTTTTACTGATTTATTTTATTTCCTTCCTCCTTAGCTAATCAAGATTAGTTTGAAATTCACTTGTCCTTGATCCAGCTCAATAACAAGTCAGGGGCCTTACAAATAGTGCTCTCCCTCATTTCCTACCTCTTGAAGTTGTTAAACAGTAGTTTCAAATAATGACTAAGTTTCTTCTACCTATTAGGCTGTAGGGAGCTCCTTGGAGCAACTCCTTTTTTGTCATTTCCATGGTGGCACAGGACAGGCAACCATATAATAGCAGGAATGGAATGAATCATTTCTGCTTTTCCATTTAAAGGGTATTTATCAATTTCATTAAAGTCATTGAGGAAGGGAGGAAGGTATTGAAATTGCAATAGTCTGTCAAAATCTTTCTTTCTCTCTCTTCTACAAATCTCTCATCTGTGGGTTATTCTATTTAAAAAAAGAAAGTTGAAGGGGCCTCTTTAGGTCAGGGGTTGTTTTATGCACCCATTTCTTATCTTGAATTGGGCTTGTATGGTGTTAGTTCATGTGGAGGAAATGAATGTAACTTAATAATCTGATTGGACCTCCACTGCCTATTTGAAGAAATCCTTTGAGGAAGAAATGAATGATGTCTTAGTCTTTTGCAGGTATTTTGTTTTAGTGCTTTGTAAACTTAGACTACTCTTTTGTGATTTTTTTTTCTTAACAGTTCCTGAGCTAAATTATTAATGTCGTTTTCTTTTAAAGTGCTAACTCTTGTTTTTCTCTTAAAATTATGTTAATATTTTGTTTCATCACGATTACGTTTTGTTTATTTTTATTACGTATATGTATAATCTGTTTTAGTTTTGAAAACAAGTTAAATTTTAAGTAAAAGATGCCGAATCATTTCACACGATTTCATGCTGATTGACTTGATTTAGGGGATAAAAGTAATGGTAAAGTTAGACTGGTGTCTGATGGGTAAAGATGAATATTCTGCTTACTGCACTGTTTCTCAGTGTACAGTTAATATTCAGTAACAGTGGCAAGATTCAGCTTTTGCTGCATTCTGGCACAACAAAACATAAGAATTATAATGAAAAAAAAATAATGATGCTTCTCAAAAGCATCTTGTGATTGCTGATGGCAATAGTGTTTGTTTGGAATCAGGATCCAGTACTACTGAATCAAAAACATATGCACTCTTACTCCAGAAGATAAACTATTATGGTCGGAGATTATTTGGACTATCCTTGTTGCTCTGAGCAATTGTTTTTTTTTTTAATGCAGGATGATGTAAAGAAGTATTTTCAGGTGTCTTCCCAGACTCAAAATTGTGCTCTGGGATGACTTTGCATTCCATGAAAGTATCTATATCTCATGGACTTAGTCCTTAATTTTTTAAACAGATCACCAATGAGTTCAAGAAGGAGAAACACCTTAATGTTTGACGAGACGCTCAATGATTGAAATTTAGAGCAATTTGATGTGCACATTTGTTATTGGTCTAGTAGTGGTAGTGGTTTATCTGAAAGATACTTAGGTTCAGAACTGTTGGGGCATGCAACTGCCCTAAATATTTTTAAGGCAATGAAAATATTTTAGATTCTCGTGAAATAGATTTAAAGCATATAATGATGCTTGGGTCCGATGGACTAAATGTTAATAAATCTTTGTTTCAGTTATTTGGCAAAAAAGTTACACAGATTATATAACTAATTAATGAATATATGAACATGAAACTTGCATGTTATACATAATGCCTTTGGTAAAGGTTCAACAATAGAAGAGTTTGGGAATGTTGTTAATTTTTTAGAGAATATTTATTCCTAGTTTGAAAAATTTCCTTCTGCGAAAGAGGATCTCCAAAAAATTTGACTATATTGGTTGTGAATATTCAAAAATATCGATAAATGTTGTGAACTGTCTGATGAGTGGCACTTGTATGCAAATGATGAAGGCATTTTTGAGGAAGCTAAATGTAATGAGGATTTTTAATTTTTATTTTGTTTCTTTATTGCTTGTTTGAAATAATCGTGAATTCAATTTTATTTTTTAGAGAGGTTTTAATCTATTAAATTAAGTACTATTTTATGCTATTTAGATCATTTCATTTCTTTTATAATGCTAATTTTGAATTAATTTAATTAGTATGGTACTTAATTATAACAATTTAAATTCTTTAGCTAAATGATCTAATTTAACACAATACTGTTCCCTTTCATTCATTAAATATGCATTTCAGTGTGACTTATGATTGCTTTTGTTTCATATGAATCTATACCAACTTTATTTCTTCATTGCTTGTTTCCAGATAGATTTGAATCTAATTGTGATTTAAATATATTTGTTCTTTGTCCTGCTAAATGGCGCAACAATAAGCCTTGCAATGAGCACTGGCTATATCGCCTCAAATTTTACCAATGAATTGAGAGCAATCAACCTTGCCCTAGACAAATATTCATCTCTTGGTAGTGGACACAGTGGACTGGAGTTTTTTGTGACAGTAAGGTTGAACTAGAAACAATCCATGCTGGCCAGTCAAGATTAACTCAAGATATCCTGCAACGGCCGAGAGATCTGGAAAAATCAAGCAAGATCTTCACCCTGTAATAGATGCCGGCACACATCAGTGTCCCTGAAAACGAAACAGCAGACAGCTTGGCTAAAAAAGGAAGAAATATACATACCAATACCCATAGCCGGACTACTCTGCATGATGCTAATGCAATCACAAGGAAAAGGAACGCCTAAAGATTTGCAAAGAAAAGAGATCTTATCAAAACCATAACCTGTGTAAGATCCAGGCACTTCAGGAGCATAAAAATCGACAGAGATTGAGTACGAACTTTTGACCTTGCAACAATTGCCGAGATACACCACTAACTCCTCACCATGTGTTTGACTGACCTGCAATTTTACACCCCCTGGCTCTCCTTGGGGAATATCCTTCAAGCAAGTGCCTGGATCTTAAACAGGTTATGGTTTTGAGCAACTCTACTCTGACGAGATCACCGAGATTGCTGCCTGTTTATTATTTGTTTCTATTTTAGTTTTCTTTAATTTGTGTGACCCTTAAAACCATTGCATTTAATTTCTTATGTTAAATGCTGCATTTAATTTCTTATGTTAAATGCATTGGAGTTTTATCAAGTTATATTGATTTAGTTAAAATTCTTCAATAAAAACTTTGTTAATAATGGTAAGATAAGAAACTATGGTTTTACATACATATTCCTCTTCTCTCCGAACTAGAGCATAGGGCTTCTATCATACCTCTCCATTTGTTGCCAGCAGTGTTGCCAGAACTTAAGATTAAAAAGTAGCGAATGGGAGCTCCAAAAGTAGCGGATTCGAACATTTTGTAGCCCAAATATATATATATATATTAACAAAATTAATATCACAGCATAAGTAAAGTGTAAAGTTTGCCATGTTTTGAGTGCTCTAATTTATTTTGCTATATTTCTGTAAA